AATCTTATTCCAAAGCTGGCTTGTCCAAATGTGCTTTAGCATACCATAAGCGGCACTGTTTGTGGTGTTTGCAGAGAAAAGGCTTTTTCCATCCTACAGCATCTCCTTGTATAAAGTAATCTGAACGGTGCACAGTGACACTATCTGCAGCAAGCTGATGTTATAGGTCTTTGGAGCTGGTCTGTGGGTTGACTTTCTTGGTCTGCCACTTGCAGCCTTAACAAGAACTGTGGTCTTCCTTCCTCTCAATGTTCCTCACAGTTAAAACTGAAAGCTAGATACTACTTAAGTACTAAAGTGATTGGATTCACCTGTCTATGGAGGTCAAGGTCAATAAGGTTACAAACCAATTTTTACTTGAAATGAATAAAATGTAAAGACAAAAAATATGCAAATTTTTAGGGGCCCAAACTTTCTAATATCACTGTACAATAAAACTGTCTCCTTACACAAAAAACACACAGACATGCATAGGTTGTAATATTTTTCATGATGATTTCAACAACAGAAAGGGAAGAAATAGGTAACTGAACCTTCTGTCTAAGAAGGTTTTGAGAGCAACCAAAGCAACGCCAATAGTTTAGCGTTGAATACTCCGAGGGGTAGCAAAGAACCCTAGAGTTTCTGCTACAGAAGTCACTGGCGCAGAGCAATATCTCTTTCCAAACATCTACAATCTATAAAAGCATTTCCTTCATTCCACCCATGCAAATCTGACTTTCTCAAGTTTTTAACCATAAATTACCATAAATTAATAAACTAATTTATGGGCGCATTGTTACAGCATGTTACAAAGCACTAAGACGATCTTCAGTGTACATTTACTGAAGATGAGTGGCAAAAATCCATAAAAAATATTCAAGCCGTTTTTCTGAGTAATAAATTAAATACATTTTAAAATGTTCCATAGGAAGCATAGAACTCCTTATGCTCTTAACAAAATTGATCCTAATAGATCTTCAGCTTGTCTTAAGTGTTTACAGTCACCCGCTATATGCATTGCTTTTGGAATTGTCCCAAAATAGGCAAATTTTGGTCTAACATTACTAAAGAAATTGGCACAATTCTGAAATGCAAAATTTATAAGGATGCGGGACAGTTTCTGTTGTGTTTACCAAATAAAAATAAATACCCTCATTTTGAATTATTTAAAAAGTTCCTTTCCTTGGCTAAAAAATGTATTCTAAATAATTGGATCAAAGACAAACCTCCTACAGTTACAGAGTGGTATCGAGAAATTTTTAATGTGCTACCTATGGAAAGAATTAGTGCTAAACTGAAGGGTAATAGTGAGCTGTTCACTGAAACATGGCAGCCTCTTATACTGTAAATTATTTGTTCGGGTTCGGGTACTTTGAGCTAAATGTTACTTTTATTTTCAATTTTATTTCATGTGGACACTGGTTGAAAAGTATTTTATTTCTGTGATATTTTTTTTTTAGGATTCAATACATGCCAGTGTAACCTATTACAACGACTTATAAATGTGCATTTTGTTTTGGTTTATGGTGGGTCTGCTCAGTGGTGTTGTCAATGTCTGTCTGTTTTATAATGTTAAAAGCAAATAAAACATTATTATGAAAAAAAAAAAATAATTGCTGTGTTTTAGACCAAGCCTACTCAACTTGCGCCCCTCAGCCCGTGTACAAAAAGTGAACATCAGCTGAGGGGCAGTGGAAACATATCTTTTGGTCGCCTTTCAACAAACTGTTTTTTATCCAGGCCAAGCTGGTACTAAAGTATTTATATTAGGGCTGTCAAAATACATTATTTAATTTTTTTCATTAATGCGTTAACAAAATTAACGCATTTGACGCATGTACCAAATGACCCGCCCATACATCCTGTAATAACACTCAGAATGCTGCAGACACTTGCGTGTATGAGATGGCGACAGAGCAGGTAGGCAGTAGTTAGCATTAGCACAACTTCTTAAGCAACTTTTTTACCAAAGCAACGCACTGCTAACAAAATATACAGTACAATAACTGAAAGATTACCGCCAAATGTAGTCCGAGGCAGTCCCGCTCCCGCAGGTCTCTCCAGAGAATACGACGTGAGCTACCTACGTTCACCCGGGCTTGATTTCTTCTTTGGTCATTTTTTCGATTTAGTTCCCTCTTCTCCTAATCACTTTTGCGTCGTTTGGGCTGTTTTGCTGTGTATGCAGTTACAGCCAGAGGAGGTAGCGCCACTTTCTGCTGCCATGCTTCTATGTTTAGCTGCACTGTAGACGCTAGAGGAGGTGTGGCCTGGGAAAACGAGCGTCACGCAAAGTTTCTATTCAGCACTTTTTATGGCCTGAATTCATACACAAGCTGAATCAATGAGCTCAATGTTTCAATTAAATTAAGGGTTTAGACTTAGAAAAAGTACTGTCTACTACAGAAAGATAGAATGTTAATAATGTTAATGCCTTTTATGTGGATTTATTGTTGCTTGTTATAATAAACAAATACAGTACATACTGTATGTACACAATGTTGTCATTTATCTTTCCATTCAAACAATCATTTACAGAAAACTATGGCATTTTGCCGATAGTTCAAAGTGTGATTAATTATAATTAACTAATTTTTAAGCTGTAATTAACTCGATAAAAAAATTGTAATCGTTTGACAGCCCTAATTTATATAGAATACTTATAATTACAGTATTTGGTTCTAACAAACACAACCAGGTAGAGCAGAGCCGAATAGACCCAGAGCCAAGTGCCAAGTAGAGTAGAGTAGAATAGAGCCAAGTAGAGTAGAGTTGTGCCTAGCAGAGTAGCGTAGAATAGAACCAAATAGAGTAGAGTAGAGTAGAGCTGTGTAGCGGCTCGAGTGTTAAAGTAATTCAGAGAGTTCAATTTTGTATTTTGTTCAAGCCTCTTGCAATAGTACAAAGTCGTCTCTTGTCCAGTCTGCTGCTGCTGCCTGCTGCTCTTTACTAATTAATGGAATATCCCAGGTTACATTAGGCCAGTTTGAAAAAAAATAGGACACTAATTAAAACTGGAAAGACGTTCTATCTGTCATAGCAATAATATCAGCTGCCCCCACACACAGACACTGGACTGTGTCACCATTTTAGAAGCCATGAACTTAAAACAGACAAATTTGGATTTTGTTAGTAATATTCTAATGTTAATGACACAAAAATCTATCGCTAATTCGCTCCACACACTCACCTTTTTGCTCATGTTTTGCATGTATTTATGGCCTGTCACATCCTTAGATCAGATTTTCCAGACAGAAAAGTAACAAAGAGAGGACCACCCTCACTCTATCAGTCTCAGCCGGTTTTAGGCATTATCTGCTTATGTATTGCACCAAAGTACATATGTGACATGTTAGTGCCATATGAACCAACTCGGACTCCGAGGTGACAAGGTTATACGGCAGGTTAAATGCTGACACACTAGCATGTGTCTCCTATTTTTGCGTAGGGAGAATGAGGTTTATGACACCTGTGGACAAATATATTAGAGTTAAAATTAACAATGGTATGCTAAAACTTCTTAACAAACAACATGGCTCTGTTTTATTTCTCATTTAGTAAATGGCCTTTTTAATTAACAAAATCTCCATAGCATACGTAGAGTAACGCTACACTGTCTTCTCCTCTTACTGTAGACTCAAACCACCACTGAATTTGCAAACACAAGTGAATTATTTAGCCTGCTGTCGAACAACTGGGATCGGGTTACAAGCTGCAAACTGTGGATGAGCAAAAATTAAGTAGATTTGCGGCCCTCAAATGCAAAAGGCTGAAGAAAGTCAAACCAAACTGTCAGAGACACTTTTGATAGTTTAGGAAGGTTCATCTTGTCCTCTTAGCACATTAATGTTTTTGCTTCTTCTTTGCTTCTTCTACACCTGGCAAATGTCGAGGTACTAACATCGCAGTCAAAGGCCCTGTGCATTATTATCACTGTCTGAAAGATCGGCCCTCACGTTCTGACATTCACCAGTTTTTCAGAACCCAGAGCCCAGTGTGACATCATAGTAAGCTAACAAGAAGAAAATAGCTTTGCGCTTTAGTGGCACTACTTGCAGGTGAAAGCCAGATACCGTCAGACACTTAAAGCTAAGCATGGCAGGGAGTGATGGGAGACCTCTGGGGACACCAGGTGCAGCAGGGGAGCAGTTGTTGCTATAAAGTGCCAAACTTAGTGTCCTTAGGCAAGACACTTCACCCACATTAGAATGAGTCTGGTGTGCGTGTGAACGGTTGGTGGTGGGAGGGCACATATTGGTTTCCTAGCTTCTGTCACCACCGTTTATGGATTGAATGAATAAAGACATGTGAAGCGTTTTTGAGTGTCCAGAAAAAGATAATATTATTTCTTCTCTCAACATAGTTCTCATGAATACAGGCAGGAGGTTCTACTAATACTCCTTCTACCGTCATAAGGTAAAAAGATTTCTGATTTAGTTTTGAAATGTTGTCTGTAATTTTGGGATGGAATGACAACAATGGAAGGTCTCTCTTTATTTTTACTGAAATGTCTCTAATCTTATTTACATTACTTTCTGTATTTCTGGAGTGGACAATAAAATGTAACTTGGACTAAAACTTAAAGCAGACATGACCCAAAAATTCACTTTTTGAAGCTTGCGTTCATGTTGTAGTTGTTTCCTCTTGTCATTTACACACAAAGCTGTTGTCAGTGAGATTTATGCATGTTTGAGTTATTTATATCTTGATAACCGAAGGCGTTTCCAGGCCAGCTGAGAGAAATAGTCCCTATAACGTATGTGGGGTCTTCCCTAGATCTAGGGAACCTACCCAGGGAGGCTACCAGGAAGCCAGGAAGTTCAACTGGCTGTCAGCATCTGTGGAGAAGCAACTCTACTCCGAGCTCCACACATGTGACCGGGCACTTTGCAGAGTCCGGTCTGTAATTTACAATTTTTTAACCCCTCCACTCCCACATTTAGGCCTCAAAATGCTCTGGAATTCACGATGTATTAACAGTTCTGCTTTTATATAGTGAGTATGATACAAACACAATGTCAACGTTGTGAAGTACACCATTCATACCGCAGTGGCTGACTCTGTGACACGCCGCCTCCTCCATCCCCTCCATCCTCCAGTCCAGATTTCTCCTCTCCGCTTCCAGCTGCTGAGACACCTCCTCCTCCCCCTCCTCCTGCCGATCTGAGGTGGCACAGTTCGTCCGGCAGTGCGTTGTACCACGAGTGCTGCCCGCTGTCCGGAGACAGCACCTCTTCCTCCTGACTGTGGCCCTGGACCTGGCTCTGCACGGTCCTCACCATGTTCACCGCATTCACTGGCAACTGCAGAAGCTTCTGCATCGTGGTCATGGTGCCCGACAAGCGCTTGGTGAAGTCCTCGGATTCAAAATGGAACAAAAACTGCGTATGTGAGGCTCAAATGTTTTGAGAGTCGGAAAAAGTGCTATCAAGTTTAAATAAAATGTAAATAAATGTAATATAATCTAATTTATTATTTTTTGTTCATTATTATCTTATGCATGTAACGTACGTTATTTAGTCATTTAATTTATCCTAAGAAGCAAAAATGAACACTGAAAGAAAAAACTATGACATGAGTTAACGTAATCCGACTTAAACTTTTCCGAATTTCAGACGAGTTTAGATCTGTTCACTTCATGGACTGTGTGCTTTTCTTGTTTCGATATTATTTGGACAATACTCAACACATTATTTAAAGCAATAACTTTTTGCTGAAGCCATAAGAAACTCAGTTGTAGAGATTAGAAATCAGAATAAGTCTTCAAACTAGTGGTCAAACACTGTGGGTCAGATTCTCAAACAGGTCAAGACAAGTCTATAAGATATGTAATTCAAATCATTTTAGGATTTACAATATTATCAGTTAAATTATCAATATTATCAATTTTCGGCAACAAAAAATCCTCCTTGTTTTTGGCCAAAACTGCTTGACCTGTTAAAAGGTTATTCTAAAACGATTTAATCCTAATTTTATTATATAGAATCTCCTCAATAAATCTGGAAGTCAAGAAATCTATTTATCTCTATCTGTCTTTCTCTTTAATATCTCTAAATATACTGATGCAACTCCAATGTTGGCTACAGGTAACTATAATCCATTTTCGTTTCCTTCAGAAAGCAAAAGTATAAATCAAGTTGACAAAGATCTTTCCTTCTAACGACTTTGTAATCCTTGCACGAGATGTTAATTTTTCGCCAGACATCTCAAATCATCCATTCAGCAAAATCGTGGTTTTCCCAAAAATTCCCAAACTGTTGTTTCCGTATTGTCAACTGTTATCCAATCCTCGGTTAACAGTATTCGGAGCGCAGCCTCTCACCGCGGCTCCGTCGTTGTAAATGGTTGCTGGAGCAGGAGGAGAGCATAGAAAGGGAGAGAGAGAGACAGACAGGAGAAAGGCGTGGACTTTGAAATGACACTGGGGTTTTTTTGGCCCTGCCTTCTGCTTCTTCGAGTCACTCCCCGTCGGCCGTGTGGATACGTGGACTGCTGCTCGCTGTGGTCTAAAACACTTGCTCATTCTTCATCTAATGCACAGTTCCATTGGTCTCAAATGACTCAGCGGTTTCTGCCAGACTGACGAGAGAGCCATGGTCTCCCACTTGTTTAAGTGTTATAGCAAAAAATAAAAATCAGGCTGAATCAAAGCGTTTCAGATTTATGCTGCCAAAATCTTCCTAAACATGTGAGTCAGGCTTCTACTCAGACAATGTTCAAATACAGGTAAAAAAGTTCTGTTTAGCTGCGCATACAACTGAGGGATTGTATCACTCTGTTTAGTGTAATGAGTTGCCTTGTGTATGAACTGTGATATACAAATAAACTTGCCCTGCCATGCCAAACTGATTTATTTATGTATCGGCAGATAAAAAAATCCAACAATTAGGCCACATATAAAATACAACAATAATACAAATAGAAGCCATTGGTCCATATGCTTATTCCCTGTCCTTAGACCCTCCAGTATCAGCAAGAAAACTCAAAAATTCAGTTGGAGAAAAGAGAGACCTCGGAGTGACCCACAATGAGAGAGATCCACCACAAAGGCTGTAGATCCAGGACTGACAGCCTCAGGCCAAGCCTTAAGGCTATAGATCCAAGACTGAGACTATAGATCCTGTACTGAGGCTGTGGATCCAGGACTACGGTGCAGATCCAGGAGTGAGGCTGTAAATCCAGGACTCAGACTATAGATCCACAACTGAGGCTATGGATCCAGGACAGAGGCTATAGGTCCAGGACTGAGGCTATAGATCAGGACTGTCATTCTGTGGATTTTGTTATTTTGGTACTTAGTTTTATTTTGACATCAGTCAAGACAGTCTCCTGTCTTGATTGTCTGCCCGCCCCAATGTGTTTCACCTCTGTCTTTCTGTGTTCTCTGTTCTACGCTGTGCTCCTCTCCCTTTGTTGCTGGTCCATTGTCTTTGCTTTTCTCTTTGTCTGTCTATGTTCCTGTGTTCTGTTTGGATTTTTGAGCTTGTATTCACCCTGGACTTTTATGTATCATCATCATAAAATCATTATTTTTGCATTCCCCACTTTTTGGGTCCTCCTTCATTTTACCACACAACTCTAAGGCTGTAGATTGAGGCTGTAGACCCAAGTCTGAGGCAATAGATCCAGGATGATGGCTATAGATCAAGGAATAAGTTCAAGTCTGGCTGAATAAATACCCCAATTCCCCAAAGTCAATAGTTTTGTATTTATCTGCAGAAACTGGATAATAATTTGTGTAACAAGTTTGAAATTGGAGAATTTAGGCGGAAGGGATGTGGAATGTTTCTGTGCCAGAAGTGTGTGATATTAGTGTGGATGGATCTAAAAACATGATTATAATATTTTCTTTATGTAGTATTCTCTTTTTTGCCCTGCTCTCGTGTTCACATTATCTGAACCACAGACCTAACGCTGTAGAGACTGTTCTAAATGTAATAAGTCAAAGGATTAACGACAATGAGGTGAAAATCAACATCTCACATATGTTACGTCGTCATGGAGACCAACGAAGGACACGCTCCTCATCACTCGGAAAAAAAGAAAATGGCGACTGAAGTGAGACGAGAGTAGAAGGCTTCATGTGACCGCATCCACAGCTGTCAGATCATGAAACGCATCTTTTGTGTGAGGTTGACTCACAACATCACAATTTTGAGTTACTGTTAATACATGATTATCAGTAATGTAATGTACCACAATACATTAATAAGATTACATATTTGTTTGTATAGCACTCCATAGGCCAAATCCGGCCCGCAAGACAATTTTGAGTGGTCCCTGAAATGATTCTCTATAATCATTATTTCAGTAACTTGCAGAATTTATGTAGTGGGATAGTATGGCATGTTAAACTTAATTTTAAAACTTGAATTATAGATATATAAAATTAAATTTCTTCTAAAATTTGAATCAACATTTTGTGATTGAATCCAAATCTACCAGAAAATAATATCCAAATATGTCAAAATAAAAAAAAAAAAAAAAATTGTCCACTCACCTTTGGCCCTCCGCGGGCGGTTATCCCTCTCTAAGCTCGGGTCCTCTACCAGAGGCCAGGGAGCTTGAGGGTTCTGCGCAGTATCTTTGCTGTTCCTAGCACTGCACATTTCTGGACCGAGATGTCCGAGGTTGTTCCGGGGATCCGCTGTAACCACTCATCTAGCTTCGGGGTCACTGCCCCGAGTGCACCGATCACCACGGTTATGGCGTTATGGTTATGGTTATGGCGTTCCATGTAGGCCTTCCCTGCTAGCATCTTGCACCCTGCAGTTATGTGTTGGATCGTCTCAGGTGCCTCTTTGCACAACCGACACCTTGGGTCTTGTCTGGTGTGGTATATCTGGGCCTCTATCGCTCTGGTGCTCAGTGCCTGTTCCTGTGCAGCCATGATGAGTGCCTCTGTGCTGTCCTGTAGGCCAGCCCTTTCTAGCCATTGGTAGGACTTCTTGAGATCAGCCACTTCTGTTATGCTCCGGTGGTACATGCCGTGTAGGGGCTTGTTCTCCCATGATGGGCTCTCCTCCAGCACCTCCTCATCTCGCCACTGCCTGAGACATTCACTGAGTACGTCATCCGTTTTGGCCTTCTCCATGATGTAGTTATGGAGTTTGGATGTTTCGTCCTGGACAGTGGCTCTCACACTCACTAGTCCTCGGCCTCCTTCTTTACGGCTTACGTACAGTCTCAGGGTGCTGGATTTGGGATGGAACCCGCCATGCATGGTAAGGAGCTTTCGAGTTTTAACATCCGTGGTCTGAATCTCTTCCTTTGGCCACCTGATTATTCCTGCAGGGTATCTGATCACTGGCAGGGCGTAGCTGTTAATTGCCCGGGCCTTGTTCTTGCCATTGAGCCGGCTTCTTAGGACCTGCCTTACTCGCTGGAGGTATTTGGCAGTTGCCGCTTTCCTCGTCACCTGTTCGAGGTTGCCATTTGCCTGTGGTATACCGAGATACTTGTAACTGTCCTTAACGTCTGCTATTGTTCCCTCTGGGAGTGAGATCCCTTCTGTGTGGACTACCTTGCCTTTCCGAGTCACCATCCTGCTACATTTCTCGAGCCCGAATGACATCCCGATGTCATGGCTGTAGATCCTGGTTGTTTGGATCAGAGAGTCGATGTCTCTCTCGCTCTCGCTCAAAATTATATATATATTATATATATATAATATATATATATATATAATATATATATATATATATATATATATATATATATATATATATATATATATATATATATATATATATATATATATATATATATATATATATATATATATATATATATAAAATATAAAAAGAATTATGATAAAAAAGAAAACCACTTTTATACTGTTGGCCCCAATCAGCTCTCAAGTTTTTCAATTTGGCCCACAACCAAAATGTGTTTGACACCCCTGCCTATAAGTACAATGTGAATCCAGCAATGTAAAGCCGGTCATGGGGCAAACATAGCAAAATAACCTTGGCTATAAATGTTGTAGTATTTCACATGTTGACTGTGTTAATCAAATGAAATAACAGAAATATAGCTTGGTGTCAGACCTAGAGAAGCTTTAAAAGCTATCGGGAAATATTGTCTTAAAATTATTTCTCAAACGCATAGGGAGCCAGTGGAGGGAATGAGGGATACTAAAAAAGTGGTGATGTGCTCCCTTCCGTTTACCAGCCGGAGGCTGATCAAAGAACTGACTAGAACTGACGTATACTCTCTCTTTTTGGTATATCTTTGGTCTCTGTCTCTCTTGCTCTCAATCAACTAGTCTCCTAATTTTCTAAAAGAGGTGTCTTGAAAACATATGCATGACATTGTCCTGTAGAGTATC